GAGGGTCCGTTATCTCCGTCACCACCTGCCTTGCGGTGGCATGCATCTGCTCCTGAGTTTCCCTTTGACCTAACAAGTAGCCCCTGCTTTTCTTCCTTGTTCCCAGCCATCTCTAGGCATCTCAGCTTTGCTGGTCTAGGTGGGCCGACCCTGAAGCAGGACCTTTGGTGCAGTCACCTGAAAGGATGGAGAAGCTAGCGGCTCACTCCGCTCTTTCTGTCCTGGTGAGGGAACTCTTTCCAGCTGGGAGTGCCCTCTTGTGCTGAGCACGGCTGGCCTGGGGGACAGGGTGGTTTTTAACCTGCATTCTGCCTGTCCTCCACCTGCCCACAAGTTAGAATCCTGGCCAGCAAGCCCTCAAAGTAGATCCTACACTCAAATATTCCCCTATTTTTTTTGTTACAGATTTTTATGGTCACCAAGAAAAGAGACTATGTGTCTTGGGTTAACAGGCCAGTTTCTTTTTGAATTCTAATTGAGGGTTTCAGGTCAAAACAATAAATAATAATAATAAATGCTGCTCCCTAACCTCCAATGATCCTATTGTCTGGGGTAAGACAGGTTATCACGAACTCACAATCCTGAAGCTAGCGCATGTTTACGTATGTAGAGGAGAGTTAAAATTTTAAAAGTGTTTTCTACACTCAATGTTAGGTTTAAAATTTCTTTAGATTTAGGTGATTAGAAAAATCTTATATTTAAGGAAACAAAGACCCTTCAACTAGCAGCTCTGATATTAAACCCACTGTGTGACTGTTGGCATCTCTGAGCCATTCTTACACTCCTCTTAAAATAAGGAAGTAAGGAATTTCATTAGATGATTTCTGAGATCTATTCCAGCTCAATTATTCCTACATTTTCTTCCTTCTTGGAAGAGAAAAACGGACAAGCATATGAACCGCCAGAAAGGTTGCGTAGACAAAGCTGAGATACACGTTTCTCAGGCCAAGGGATAGATAGCTCTGAAGAGAGACAGTGAGAGAGTGACAAAATTTTTCAAAATATATATAAGCTGTTTTAAAATCTGCGCTCCTGCCCAGCTGGAGTGGCTCAGTGGTTGAATGTCAACCTATGAACCAGGAAGTCATAGTTTGATTCCTGGTCACGGCACATGCCCCAGTTGCAGGCTCAATCCCCAGTGTGGGGCGTGCAGGAGGCAGCCAATCAATGATTCTCTCTCATCATTGTTGTTTCTATCTCTCTCTCCCTCTACCTTCCTTTCTGAAATCAATTTAAAAAATTTTTGTTTTTAATCTGCTCTCCTCCAGGACCAGAAATGTCCTAGGCAGTGTACATCAGCTGTGGGGTTGGGCAGCTAATCACTGTATTGCTTTGAAATCAAGTTCTTTGAATCTTTGAACCCTGGCTAACTGAAATTCTAAAGATTACAAAGCAACAAACTTGTCTGAACTCTCGCTTTTATTTACCCATGGTGAAATCATTGACTCAGTAATGGTTTAATTTTAAATAAAATATTTAATGCCAAACTGAGACTGCCAGATACCTAATAATTACTCAACAAATGTTTGTGCAATACAGTTAAATTGAAATAATTTTCAGTGCAGAATTCATAACTTATAAAAGCAGAGCTGGAGTGCTTACCCTGCCTTAGAAGTGGAAATTTGGGTGAATTTCTTCAGTTCTAATTATAATTTTCCTCATCTGTAAAATGAATAAAATTACCTGTCTTGTGGGTTGATTATGAGATTCAAATAATGAGATACTCACAAAATTGCTTCATAAACTTCACAGAATTCTACAAATAAAAATAATAATTTTTAATTAAAGCAATTTGTTTTCTTTTAAAATACTTTAAGATTCTAGGCACTTATTTAAAAACTAGTAGCCCTGCGCACGAATCTGTGTGCCAGTAGCTTGCTGTTGCCCTCCAGTAGCTCTCAGTCTGTTGCCCCGCCCTCCTGTAGCTCCCCCCAGCTCCCTTCACCTCCCGCCCCTCTCATAGTTTGCTGCCCTGCCCCCTTCTGTAGCTCTCCGCTGCCCACTTAAAGCTTGCTGCCCCATCCTCCTGCTGATCGGTGATCCGGTTGTTACGCTGTCGGTTGTTATGCTTCACGGCGTAATGACCATTCGCATATTACATCTTTATTATGTAGGATCTAATAGTGGTTTTACAGAAGACTGTTTTTATTTATTATTTTTTAATATATTTTTATTGATTTCAGAGAGATAGAAACATCAGTGATAAGAGGGAATCATTGGGGATTGAGCTCAAACCCCTGGCATGTTCCCTGACCAGGAATCGAACCATGACCTTCTGGTTCATTGGTCGATGCTCAACCACTGAGCACGCTGGCCTGGCCAGAAGACCGTTTTTAAAGTATGTCTCCTATGGGGTGTAAAGTAGAATTTTAATTTTATTAGATACTGATCTAAATATGTTATGTTCGCCGAAACTGGTTTGGCTCAGTGGATAGAGCGTCGGCCTGCGGACTGAAGGGTCCCGGGTTCGATTCCGGTCAAGGGCATGTACCTTGGTTGTGGGCATATCCCCAGTGGGAGATGTGCAGGAGGCAGCTGATCGATGTTTCACTCTCATCGATGTTTTTAACTCTCTCTCTCCCTTCCTCTCTGTAAAAAATCAATAAAATATATTTAAAAAAATGTTATGTTCTTGTCTGTGAAATCTAGATATGGTTGTCTTCCCAGACTGAGGTATTTTTGAGGTAGTTAATTCCCCACCCTCCAACTTAAGCTTGAATACCAGGTAACTGCTTGTTAGACTTGCTCCTCTGCCGCTACAGAAGCTGTGGAGGGCTGTTCTCTCTCTCAGGACCTCCCTGCTGTGTCGAAGACTACAACATTGGAGTCCTGTGTTGGGTCCACACTCCACGGCTCCTAATATGGGGACTTCGCTCCCCATAGGCTGCTGTTATATCAGTGCTCATTTCTTTTTTTTCTTTTCTTTTTTTAATTAATTTATTCATTTATTTTTCATTAAATCTTTATTGTTCAGATTATTACAGTTGTTCCCCTCCCCCCCCATAGCTCTCCTCCACCCAGTTCCCACCCCCCCCTCTGCCCTTACCCCTCCCACTGTCCTCATCCATAGGTGTACCATTTTTGTCCAGTCTCTTCCTGCACCCCCACACCCCTTTGCCCCCAAGAATTGTCAGTCCACTCCCTCTCTATGCCCCTGGTTCTATTATAAAAAATATTTTTACTGATTTCAGAGAGGAATGGAGAGGGAGAGAGAGAGAGAAGCATCAATGATGAAAGAGGATCATTGACCGGCTGCCTCTTGATACACTTCCTACTGGGGATCAAACCAGAAACCTGGGCATGTGCCTTGACCCGGAATCGAACCATGACCTGGTTCAGAGCCTGATGCTCAACCACTGAGCTACACCATCTGGTTCATTTCTCCTTTTCTTAAATTATAATTGGCATATGTGATGTGTCAGATGTCCTAGGTTCAAATGCCAGCCCTACCCTTTATTAACCGGGCAGGGCGGTATCTGTGTTGGTTCGGCATCTCCTTTGAGAAGAAGCGGTGTCAGAACTCCTGACGTATAGTAGGAAAGGGCTCTGCCAAGAGAGTTGGGCTGTCTCTACTCTGAGACTAGCTCCCTATTCCGTTCTTTTTCACCCTGCCTCCTCCTCTCTGTCATTGATCCTGGCCTTTCCCTGGGTTTTCTAGGAAAATGCACCGAGAGGGTGCTGCTTAGGCCCTGGCCGAGTAACTCAGCTAGTGGGAGCTACTTGGCCAGGGCCCAAGAATCAACCAATGAGTGTATACATAAGTGGAACAACAAACCGATGTTTCTCCTTCTCTCTGTTTCCTTTTCTTTCTCTCTCTCTCTCAAATTAATAAATAAATTTTTTAAAATGAGAATGCTTTTTTCTGCACATATGATGATGAATTTTCATCTTTCATCCTTTGTCAAGATTATGCATTTTAGCCCTTTGAAAATGTGTTAGCTTTCAATTTCACTATTAAAATCTGGCCATCTCTGAAGAAGTGAGAGTTATTTTTTAGTTGGAATTTCCAACTAAAACTTAGTTGAAAACCTAGATATATCTCTATACAAAGGTGACTGTTTTTTTCAAAATTAAATTTATTGGGCCCAGCCTGTGTGGCTCAGTAGTTGAGCATTGACCCATGAACCAGGAGGTCACGGTTTGATTCCCAATCAGGGCACATGCCTGGGTTGTGGGCTTAATACCCAGTAGGGAACAAGCAGGAAGCAGCCAATTGATAATTCTCTCTCATTGATGTTTTTATCTCTCTCTCCTTTCCTCTCTAAAAATTTATTGAGATGACATCCTATATAATAAAAGCCTAATATGTAATTTGTCCCATCGGGCAGTCGTTCGACTGGGAGTTTGACCAGGAGACTGGGAGTTTGACCGCTCGCTATGATGTGTGCTGACCACCAGGGGTGGTGTGGAACATGGCAGGCGTCTGCCACCCGGCGTTGGCAGGAGGAAGCAGTGGAGGCACTGCCGGCCCCCATGGGCCCCGACAAGAATGGACCACGGTGGAGCAGGTGAGTGGGTGGTGCCCGACCAAGGCAGGAGTGAGCAGGGGCCCAATTGCCCTGCCAATTGCCCCGCAGATGTGACCAGGGGTGGCTGCGGGGGGGCGGGGCTGCTGGTTGGCTCCCAGGCACTGAGGGAGCTGGGCAGGGGGCCCCGTGGGCGGGATGGTGGAGCAGGTGAAGAGGCGGTGCCAGGCCAAGTCGGGGTGCCTGGCAGGACTATGGGGCTGTGAGGCTGGCAGTGCAAGCTGGGGCCCGATTTCCACAAGCTAGCCCAAAGGGCCCCACCCATGCAAAAATTCGTGCACCGGGCCTCTAGTTGGTTAATAAACATACAAATTTCAGGTGTACAACTTTATATTAATACAACACCTGTATAGTGTGTGTTCACCACCAAAAATCTAGTCTCCTCCCATCACCCTGTGTTTGGCCCCCTTTACCTTCCTAGTCCTCTTTACCCTTCTGGTAATCACAACTCCGTTCTGTATCTATGAGTTTGTTTTCTTGTTTTGTTGTACTCTCTACCAGCAGGCCAAAGGACACTGAAGATAAAACAATATTTACTCAAAAGTTCAGAGACGTAGTGCATGTTGGGAGATGAGTTTGCACTTAGTATTTACAAAATCTTTGGGTTATAAACTTTCAATTGCATTTATGCAAAGCGCATCAATGGATCTCTTCACAGTCCTGGCGATTTGTCTGTCTTGTTTGATTCTCCTTTTTCTATGGAACCGAAGCTATGCCCAAGGAAAGCTGCCACCTGGCCCCATCCCTCTCCCACTCGTTGGAAATATTCTGCAGATCAATATGAAAAACTTCAATGAATCCTTAAGAAAGGTTAAGTATGATTAATTTTCTTCCAGTTGTTTGCAATGAGTAAATAGAACAGTCCTATATCTAGGTAAAATATGGTCCCAGGCACCATATGTTAAAGAAGTGGTTTTAAAGGGAAGAGTCCATTGGACACCCAGATATAATTTTATTTTTTAAATTTAATTAAATTTACTGGGATAAAATAGATTAAGATCATTTTACAGTTTCAGGTTTTCAAA